GGGAAAAAAAAATCTTGTACATATTATATTCACTCTTTACTACTTTCATACCCTTCCCTTCCTGATTCTGCTTTCATGTGTATGAATTGCAGGTATTTCTAATATTTCTGTAGACAAATCTTCACCTGAAAAGCTCTGCGTTCCAGCCGTCCCTTGTGTTTCACAGTTGGCGTGCTTGAGTCATTGCTTGCTTCTTGCCTGTTTAATTATTTAAAGTTCTGAAATATTTCTAATTGTTTGTCTTAGGGGAATTGATGCCAACCCATTATCTAGTATCACTGCAGAAAAGCTTTTGCAAAGGAGAGGCCTCGTGTTTTCCTTGGTGAATGAGCTCTGATTCTGTAGCCAAGAGCGTTCTGCAGTTGAAGACTAAATTTAATGGCCTATCCCCAACCCAATTAGCTCTACCTCAAATTTAGCCTGTTCCAGCAACCTGTGGGTCACGACACCTAAAAGTACATGTTTGTTTACCTAAAAAACTGTGAAGGTTTATCAGAGCAGACCAGAGAGCTCTGTTCAGAACATGGTCAGACACACTTAGGCAAATTAATCCCAGGTGTAATTTCACTGACTCATCCGGAATTGCAACAGAAGTTAATGTAGGCATATTTTGCTTCCTTTAAAAAAAAAAAAAACAAACAAACAGAGCAGGACAGAAGCAAAACGAGCCCACAAATAGCTCCATAAATAGTTGTTTTCATAAATTTTCCAGTCTTTACACACTTAAAAGAAGAGGTAGATGGGGCAATGGGACAGACGGAGCACTGGAACCGGCTGCCCAGAGAGGCTGGGGAGTCTCCTTTTGGAGTCTCAAAACCTGCCTGGATGCCATCCTGTGTGACATGCTCTGGGTGACCCTGCTTGAGCTGGGGGATTGGATTAGATGATCTCTGGAGGTCCCTTCCAACCTCAACCATTCTGTGATTCTCTAATATTCCCTCTGCACCTTCTCTCTGTGCTGGGATTATTTTACAGTTGTGGAGTTCAGAAATTTGACTTCTAGTATAATTGTTATCATCTTCCTTCATTTTGGCCAGAACAGGGTCACTGACCATTTGTAATCTTACCGTGTATGGTTAACATTTAAATTACCTACTTGTTCAACGCTGACTGGCATGTATTCTCACCTACCATGCCCTTAGCAAGAAAGAGATACTTAAGCCAAACACAAATAGACCATTTTTACAAGAACTTGGATAAATTGATGTGATTTCTTAGAGGAACGTGTTTTTTTTTTTTTCTTTTTTTTCTTTTTTTTTTTTTTTCCCCTTGTCTTACATGATATCTGAATGAAATAAGATGAAAATAAGAGGATGAATGTAGCTTCTAGTATTCCAAGTGGTCACAATAGCATTTTTTTCCTGGTAAGATGCTGGTCTTGATAATAGTGAAGAAAGGAATTTAAGTAAGTCAGTAAAGATCACCCTGTGTTTTCATGGGTTGATTTGCAGAGACTGGGAATCTGATAGTAAACAAAGGGTAATCAGTTTGTGGGACATGGAAACCATCACATTGCTCCAGGATCCCTTTAATCTTGCATTTTTGACCTTGGCAGTAACTGGAATCAGTTGCTTTGAAGAAGAGAAATGCTCTCCTTGTTAGATAAGCAATTGAAATGAAATACTTCATGGTAGATGGGCAGTAATCACAACTAGAGAAATGTTTCCCAACTGTAGGTAAAGGCAAACTGTTTATAAAAGCTTCTTTGGCCACAATACTGTAAAATTCTTTCAGTTTGTTTGCGGATGCTGCAACTACCATCATGCCCAGAGTGACCTTCACAGTGAGCAAGGTAGCCCAGTATTGCAGCAGTGAATATGGTCAGAGCACCCCTTGTAAGTACACGTCTGTAATCTGACATGTAAGAGTCCTGTCATTTAAAAATCAGGGCAGGTTTTAATGGTGAAATGCGAAAGGCTTGTGGGGGAGGATGGGACAGCCCATCCTCTGAATGCCTGTGTCTGGTCCTTCATGCAGTTGTGAGACTCTCAGGTCTCTCTTCTAGGTGCAAATGGTTCATTGGTCCTGAAGCCTGGTCTTAATACAGCTGGTTTTGTCCTGGTACAAGTTTCCTCAAACATGTTGCATACTCTTGTTTCATCAAAGACTAATTGCTCTGCTATGGGATGGGTTTGGATTTTTTCACCCTTCTCAGCTGGTTTTCAGCCAGTTCAGTTCTCCGATCCAGATGCCCAAGTAACCGTGCTGTTGCCAGTGGTAGGGAGACAGTGGGAACATGCAGGCAGGGCAGCTAAAGGCTTCTCTTTTCAACAGCAGCATTAATATTGATTAATTTTGACCTATTTTGATGCTATATGTTAAATTACACCAAAACAGATATTTATATATCCGCCTAATGCAACCCATGAAGTCAGGAGTATCATTATTTTGGCATTTGTCACTACTGCACACAAACCCAACCGTAGCTGATTTTTCATTAATTCGTACAGTTGTGTATACCACATATCTGTGATGTATGGTTAGACAAATCCGTTTACTTTACATATTTCAAGAAATTAAAATCAATATGCTATATTCCGGGCTAATGTGGCTATGTGCTGTGACATCAATACTTTTTGTTCTGTCTGCAAGGACATAAGGAATTTTCAGGAACTCTTTTTTTTTTTTTTTTTTTTTTTTAACGGGGAATAATATATGAGCTGTAGGGAGCTGTAATGACAGAGTTTCATCTGAAGATTCAGCAGTCTTTGGTTTGTTTTGCTACCAGAGTCCCAAGATGGAATTAATTTCGTCTAAGTTGCGCTAGTCCATTTTATTGCTTCCCTGAGCTTTTGCAAATGGAATTGAGACAGATTTCAAGTTCCAAGGCACTTAAAACTGGTAAAATATTTATTAGCAAAACAAACATCTAAAATGATTATAATTGTAATGATTTGGGACAAAATCCAGAAAACTATTGGAAAAAACATGGCTTGGAGCCAATTGAGAGCGGCCTTCTGAATAGTCCAGGGAAGGCAAGTGTTTTAAATGTGCTTTGATCATCTTACGGAAATGTAGGTGTGGAACTGGAAGAGAAGGTATCCGACATAAGACATCTAGTCTGTCTTATGGGTCCCTGGTTATTCCACACACACACACCCATGGCCATATCAAGGGAAAGGTTATCTTCCTTGAAAGGAGTCTGGATAATTGTTTTGTTGGTGGTGTTTTTTGTTTTGTTTTGGTTTGTTTTTTTTTTGGATTTATGCTATATTACTCTGATGCACCAGGACTTTGTGACTTTTTTCTGTGCATCAGGAGGGATTTTTCCTGCCCCTTTCCCTTCTTGCCCCGTGATGCGCAGTAAGGTTGCAGTTGGTGGCTGATGAGGCTGATTTGTTTGTTGTTGTTTTTTCTGTTTCCTCCCCAGTGAATCAGTGAGACTGGCTGCAATGAGAGGAGCTAGAACCAGGGTCTATGTGTGCTCGCCATGCCACCAAATCCTCAAGTACCTGCTTGGTGTACTTCTATCTTGCTTTTGTTTAGACTGATTGTCGTTGTCTTATTTAGGCTCAGCAGGAAATTTGCTTTGAGAATGGGACTGCTGGTTTTGGAGGTGTTTTTGGCTGATTGGCTTGATTTTTGCAGTGCTTTGTGGTGTGAGTCATGAGCCTCTTTGGATCACTTGAAGTGTTATCTAAATAATCCAGTGTCATCTCAGGGACCTTGATCTCCTCTCTCTTCCTCTGGCACTTTACATTCCGGTTATTGTTGTGTGCATGTTTTACCGAAAGAGGTTATTTGCGGTGCTGTGTGGAACAGATGTTGGGAATGTGACATCTGTCGTAGTACTGCCTGTGATGGTGAGAACCCAGCCTCAGTGGCCTCGGGGCTCATTCCCATCCCAGGTTACATGAGACTTGGCTGAGTTAAATTGACATGCTCCAGACAGTGACCACTACCGCTTGTCCTCACCCTTATCCCAGAAAGAAAGCTGAGCCTCTCCTGCATGGGTTTTGGAGATTAAAATACCTTTCTTTTTGCCTTTGCCTTTGTCCACCTCCTCTGTTAGTCCCTCCAACAGCAGTACATGTTTCTGGAGTCTGTGGGGAAAAACAGGTAGAAACCAGGTGGTTCAGTGACAAAGATAGGGTCACGCTTTCCCTGCCTCTCCTCTTTGATTTGTACGTGCAGAGAATCCCTGAAGAAAGCTGTGCAGAGTCACGCTACGTTAATTTGTGGGGGTTCCCACCAGGGCCAGCAAGCATCAGAAGCTATGGGGGAATTTGGCTGGTGCTCCCTTCTGAGCTGGGGGTTACCTGGTCGCCCTGCGTGACGCTTTGGGGAAGGCACAGAGAAATGAAGCTACAGAAGAATTTTTGCAAACAGCTTCCAGCAGGTTTAACTGTGATAGGGGATAATCAGCGGCTGTTAAAGTCTGAGTGCAGAAAAACTCCGGCTGAGATTTGACATCTTCTTTCTGAATAGGGGCTAAACGGAGAATACCAGCTTTGATCTTACAAAAATATGGAGGCTAGAGGCTGGCTTTTAACTGAAGGCATTCAAACTGTATAATTCCCCAAATACTTGTGTAGCTGACGCTTGTCACTTTATAAAAGTGGTAAATAATCCTATTATGTGCTATAGCTGAATTTATAAAGGCTGAGTTAGGGACCTAATTCAAACCTGTTTATTCAGAAAAGCACAAGCGATATTTTGAATTGAACTCTGCACAAACTGAAATCTGAATCCATAGAAACAGATACTGGATACTGGAGTGAGCACAGCTTCTGTTGAATCATACTATATATATCACATGCTGAACTGAATGCGTTGCACACGGATGGGTATATTCGGTGCTTATCAGTCAATGTGTAGCCCCATTAGGGGCTTCCTAGGGTAAATACATTAACCTTATTTGAGATGCTTGTCTCTTCTTAGATATGAAGTACAGCAAGAATATGAAATTATATGGTGGCATAAAATGCTTTAAAGGTTGCAAAACATCCTCTTCCTTCTTAAAATTTCTAAGCCATCCTTGCTTTGTATTCTGTTTTCAGGTGATTGATGGCAGGCAGCGCGGGGCTGTTGCTGATGGAGTCCTTAAATAGAACACCAGACAACTTTGGATATACCTGACATCGGGAGGTAGGGCTTATCAGCAACTCTGTCTTGTTTTTTGGGAAAAGGGCATAGAAAGTTATGGTATAGGAAGTACAGACATCAGGAAGTCTCATTTTTCACCTGTGTACCTGTCAGACCTGAACAAAGTTTGAACACAGATGAGAGTCCAGTCCCAATGTTTAAACCAAGACAGGTTGTAGTCTCAAATCATGTGTGTATATATATATATATATATATATATATATAAAATGTCCTGATAATCGAAGTTCTCCAAATTGCCACTGATTTAGGAACTTAATAATGAAATTAAAACACTTTGTTTTGCTGAACTTCCTTTTGGGCCATTCTTTGTGCCTTTTTGATGAGTCAGGCTTTTTTCTCCTTAGTCATGCTCTCTTGTTTTATTTTAATTTTTATATTTGGGTGGACCTTCATGATTTGTGGCTTTTTCGTGTCCTGGTAGTGTAACGTAGCTCCATTATCTTCTCTGTTTTCACCTGTTGTCTGCCTTTGCAGCCACCATCATCTATTCGTCTTCTTTTGTTGTTGTTTCTGATTCTTTGTCATGCCATGAGTGACAGTTTTGATGCAGTATGGACTAAAATAGCAACAATGGACAAACAATAACTTGGTTTTATATCCAAAGCAAACAACAGTTTCTTCTAGTCACCCATAACACTTGAGATCAGTGTTTGGCTGAATAAAACCAGACTGACAGTCAATTCCAATCAAAGAAAAGCTAAGAGGACAATGGAGTAGAAAGGAAAACAGCACCAGTTAGCAGCATTTCAAAGCTTTCTACTTTGAGTATGAAGACAATATGGTTAACTATTTTTACTTGGGTTTACTGATTTTAGATTCTGTTTTTTAATTTTATGGGAAATAATCTTCTCTACAAGTTGCACTTCCTTTTATCAATTTAATCATAAGAATTTTCATATTCATGACCAGGACCCTTAAAGCTTTCAGAAGGTATGGGAAGTCCAAAATGCCATGCGCCACCTTTTCCATGATGCAAGTTGCCAAAATCCCATGCTGCTTTAGTTTCTCTCCCAGTGCTGCTTCCACTGAGGTATAGGTTAAATTGAAGGTTTTGGCCATGCATTTAGTTTAAAATGAGTTGAATTAATATGGAGTGTTGTGAGCAGTATCACCAAGTCAACTGCGTTCCATGTGAAAAATTGAATTGATGAATTTAGAAGTGAAAAAAGTATTTGTAGAAGATGGGTGAAGTCCTTTTGGTGGGATCAGAGTGCTTACAAACCTTTGTGTTTAAAAGCAAAATTCAGGAAACCTGCATTGGTGATAGCAGCGCCTTTCCTGCGATACCAGCCTGGACTATTTAGCAGCAGCAATAATCCTTCACTTACTCCTTGGCCTAGTCCATGCCAGTCCAGTATCCTGCCTGTGGCCAGTTCCTTTTACACATTATATTTCTCCATGGATGGTACTTCTATTAATAAATACATTGCCAGTTGGGTTAGATTTTCGAGCAAAACTGCTGTGAAGTCTTCTGCTGTGCTGTACAAAGGTGAACAGGTTTCAGTGGTGGAGCAGCCCCTACGGTAGAGCTGCTTTCTGCATTGTTGTAGCAGAACAGAGCAGTCATTGCTGGGGAGGATCCTTTTTGTCTGCTTTCTGCAGTCGGTTGAACAGAGGTCAGATTTGTTGGAAGCTGCTTAATTGTACAGGCAGCACTGCTCAGGCCATGGAGCACAGCTTCACGCTGTTCTCTCAGCTGTCTGCTCCTTCTGCAATCATTGGCTTTGCTTCTTTTCAACCGCTAACATCTCACTACAGGCCTTCCTGTGAACATGCTGCCTTATGGCTTGAGACCAATGTGTGGGCACTAATCACCATCTGGAGAGAGAATGAGACTCCGGGCCAGCTGAACTTGGCTGCAAGTAGGATTTGAAGTGGGGCATGGGAAGCTGTGCACCAGGCCACCGCTCTTTTATCCTGAAAGGCTTCGTTCCACCACGGTTCCCTGGCAGGAGGCAGCTCTTGAGCGCCTGCAGGAGCCACAGGAGCTGCTGGCTGTACTGATCAGCTGCTCAAAGTGGGGCAGTCCTTCCTGCTTCTGTGGGCTCCTGGGTGCTCTGGGGCAAACTGGTGTGGGGAGGCAGCAGCCCCGTGCAGAGGAGCAAGACACCCTAAGGCAGCAACGAGCCCTTGCCTCCATGGGAGAACTGATGGGCTGCATTCTGTCTCTGCAGGACACACATTTCCTGCCAAGTTCGGGACTGTGGCCCCATCCAAAACACACATATCTGCAGAATACGGGTTTCAAGGAACATATTGGTGTATGGCAGCGTGTCTTTGTGAGCGCCTTTGAGTGGAATGGTTGATTTACCCATTGCTGTCAGATGGGGATGAGGGCTGGTATCACATGCCTGTGAATTTTTGATCCTACTCTGGATGTTTCCATAGCTTAGAAAGGAAAATAAAATTGTATCCAGTATCATACTACTAGTTTCCATTTGTTAAAGGCATACTTCCACATCAAGAATAACTTTCTGCCCCATGGCTTGTCTTACAATCTGTCTCTGTTTTCTTTTGCTTAACTGGGTCCAAGAGTATTTGCAGGGGAGAGGCAGGGAAGGAATGTAACTGATAAGCTCCTTATAGCCCAGATCACTGCCTGGCAGCATTCTCCAGCTGTTAAGATGGATGTTTTATGTACACGGAAGTAGAGGTGGGTTGTTTTCTCTGGGAGATGTATGCTTTTATTAGAAAATGCATGCGTCTCATTATGTGAAGCTGTGTGCATTTCTGAACAGAAGCACTTGAATTATGTCCTAACAACCCATCATATATCCTGTTCTGATTTCAGTTAAATTGTGATAATCTGATAGGATGTTTTTCTGAGTACCAAAGTTATTGGCACCACCCGTATTTTTCATTCAGCTTAGATATATACCTGGAGAGTCATTTGTTTATGAGAGTAAGAATGTCTTTACCCTTGATGAATTTATCATGAACAGCAGTGAGTGAACTGCAAAGGGTTTGAACTGATTCTGATATGGATGTTTTATCAGAGGCAGGGACAAGCCTTTATTTTTATTATTTATTATTACTATTTTAATTCTTTCTGCAAGGTGCTCCATTATTGCTGCCCAGATTCTATTCTAAGGTATAACATGCAGCACTGCTCCAGAAACAGACTGAATCACTGGATGGAAAGCAAATGTGCCTTATGTCATCTCCGGTGGAATCCCAGAGAAACAAAGTTTGGGATACATTGAAACACACCCCTCTGCTTTCCTTGATTTGATTTCTTAATTTTTGTAGATTAGGTGATATGTTTAATTTGTTATAGAGTAGTACTGCTGGCAAAAATCTGTGATTATTGTGTAGCATAATGTCCATAGCCCTCCCAAGTAGACTGAATACATGCAGTCCAACAAGTGCACCGGTTGATCAGAATTTCTCCTGTGTTTGTTCCTTCCACATGCCAGGAATCAGTGAAGAAAACATAAAAGGTATGGAAGAAAACATAAAAGGTATGGAAGTCATACTTGAGGGCATATTTCCTCCAAATCTTGAGGCATCTGGAAAATGCCAAAGAGAATTCTTAGTTTTAACATCCTTTACTACCGTCAAACCTACTTTGAAGGTCTGTTTCAAACACCCTTGCTACTTGGTCATCCTGCTGAATAATGGCCCACTGTCAGGGTGGCTTCGTTAATTCTAGTGGTAGAAGCTTGTACTAAAATACATCTAGAGCTCTCACTGTTACGTATCATTCTTCCTAACAAAATTTGTATTAAAAGCCTAGACACTTTTAACTGTAATTTCCTCCATTAAAACAATGCTAATGTTGCAAAAATCAGGCAGTCAAAAGTTAAGAAATACTGCAGTCAAAGTTTTCTCTGCAATCTTAAATTGATATTCATGTGCATAAACACTATAATGCACTCTTTTATTACATGCTTTTTCCTCAAAGAGGCTCCAGCCTCATTAAGTACATGAAATGGGAGTTGTATAGTTCATTGTTAGAGAAATGAGGAGGTGTGTGGTGAAGGGCTGAGGGGATTGTTAGGAGAAAAGAATAATGCCAAGGACAAAGCAAATAGATGCCATTCTTATCCCTTGTAGTCTGTTCCTGCATCTGCCACAAAATAACCCAGAGAAGTTCCTTAAGTTTTGATAAGCAGTCACTTATTGTAGGCCTTATTTTCTACGAAAAGTAGAAAACTGCTTAGTGCTGTAAATGTGCTGAGCTCTCACAGCCACAGCTGATGTCTAGTGGGGCTTCACTTTGAAATACAAAGTGCTTTAAAATGCTATATAATCTGATAAACGAAGCCTTGTGTTTCAGTTTAGGCCATGGAATCTTGTATTTTTCTTTTCCACTTTGTCTCAGTTGCTTTGTCTGAAAAATGGGGACAGTGAACAAAATTGACTGCGATAGCTGAGATGATCAGGGGTCAACACTGTAGAAACAACCAGGAGACAAAGAGTAACTCTGTAGTCAGCATAGGAAATCCTAAATAAGGCTGGGTATTACTGAATAAGGCCAAGGGCCAAAATTTGAGAGAGCATGATGAAAAGGTTATAATAATGTGCTCTCTGAGCTCTGTATGTCCTGAGTGCTGAATGAGGCAGGAGGCTGGCTAGGAAATAGTGTGTGGGTATAATTAAGGACAATATCATAACCTCTCTGTCCAGTGAGCTGAATTAAAACTTCTGTTATCACCTGTTCTGACTCTTGACTTTTCAACCTGATGGCCTTTTTCACCTTACATGTTTTATTTAATATAACGAAAACATCGTACGTATCAGTGATGACAATGAATGAGTATGCATCTGCATATAAACTCCTTCGCATTTGTGTGGGTACCTTTTACACGTACAGAATATGCAGTGCAGACATATAGAAGGCCTTTCTTCCAAAAGGAAGTCCCCATTTGATAGCTTTGTTACTGTTAATAACCAGGTTGCATCCGTGCTGAATGAGCAGCTGCAAAGAATCAGGATATTGGAGATGATGCTTCCCTCTGGGTTGCTACAATAAACCCTTG